CGCACACACACACACTATAACACACAGATACACACACACACACACACACACTATAACACACAGATACACACTCACACACACAGCTGACAGTGCAGATGTCACACTGGCAGTTTGAGTGTGTGTGTGTATATATATATATATGTTTCAATCATGACAACTCTCTGAAGATTTTAGCATGGTAATGGTAATGACAATATATATGTATTTGGTCTTGGCGTAATAGATCTGCTACGTTGCTGCTGTTGGTTATTGCTGTAGTTGTAGATTAATGCTGCTGCTGCAAGCAAGTACAGGAACTTGCTACTGCAATGCATATGGCGATACAGTGCCGTGAGTATTTAAGACATACTGCTGCTGCACAAATAGCATATAAAATAACCCGTAACAGATCTATACAGGTGGAGCTGGGGAAGGTGGAGGGTTTCAGAGGAACTCTGAAAGCGCGCTGCGAAATGCTCAAGTGGATGCTAACCAGCCATTTAAATATAAAGCAGCAAGCTCATTGGCTGCATATGCAACTTGAACCAATCAGCTTGTGCCAAGTCGTTTAACGCTGTGAATATCATCAGTTTGCATTAACGACCCATCAGACTGCACCATCTAGAGTTTCATGACTGAAATATACATTTATTGTGCGTGTGTGTGAGTGGGTGTATGTGTTTGTGTGTGCATGTGTGTGTGTGTGTGTGTGTGTGTGTGTGTGAGTGCGTGTGTATGTGTGAGAGTGTGTGTGTGTGAGAGTGTGTGTGTGTGTGTGTGTGAGAGTGTGTGAGTGTATGTGTGAGAGTGTGTGTGTGTGAGAGTGTGTGAGTGTATGTGTGAGAGTGTGTGTGTGTGAGAGTGTGTGAGTGTATGTGTGAGAGTGTGTGTGTGTGAGAGTGTGTGAGTGTATGTGTGAGAGTGTGTGTGTGTGAGAGTGTGTGTGTGTGTGTGTGAGTGTATGTGTGTGTGTGTGAGAGAGAGAGAGAGAGACTCTATTGTACTCCTGAATCAGTATAAATAAAGAACAATCAGACACACAGATCAATGACATAAAGCTGCTGGAACATGAAGAACAAACATAATTAAAAAGATATTTGTCCAAACTGTGTGAGATTATTTTGATGTGACTATGGTCTGTTTTCTGGAATCAGTTTGATGGCGGTCGTGTCTCTGTGGTTTCTCAGGATGTTTGGGAAGAAGAAAAAGCGTCTGGAGATCTCGGCTCCGTCTAACTTCGAGCACCGCGTCCACACCGGCTTCGACCCGCAGCAGCAGAAGTTCACCGGCCTGCCGCAGCAATGGCAGAGTCTGCTGGCCGACACGGCCAACCGGCCCAAGCCCATGGTGGACCCCTCCTACATCACGCCCATGAAGGTACTTCCTGTTCCTGCGGCTCACTTCCTGTGCCGGCAGCTCTCGTCCTCCCTCACTGGTTCGTTTCTTTAGTTTAATCAGTGACGATTATCAGAGTACATGGGCCCTGCTCCAAAACCCCAAATATAAATCATAAAGCAGCGCACATGCTTCACGGAGGAACCAATCCCAGAATGCACTGCAGCAAGCTCAGTGCAAACAAAAAGGATTTAAGATGACAGAAAAAGTCAGAAAAACACAGGTGAGTTTAATGCCTATAACAATACCGTTAACTTTATTGAAATCAATTTTAGTTTCTTATGTAGAGTTGCTGTTTATGTTGAGTGTCTGAATTCAAACCGGGGCTGCAAGGGAAACATTCAGAGAAAAACTGTAAAAACATATCAAAATGAATAAATATGTATAAATGTGATTAAAATAAATAAAACAAAAACATTAAAATGTGATTAAAATAAATACAGATAAATGTGATTAAACTAAATAAAATAATTTATTAATCAAAGGGAGATTTTAAATAAATAAAACGTGATTAAAAAAAAAAAAGATTTAAAATAAATTAATAAAAATGTGATTCAAATAAATAGCTAAATAAAATGACATTTAAAATAAATAAAAATGTGATTAAATAAATGAGATGATACAATTAAAATAAAAAATGAATAAAAATGAGATTTTAAACAAACAAAATAAAAAATAAACATTAAATTATTAAATAAAATTAATAAGATTCAAATAAATAAATAATGAGGTTTAGAATAAAAAAGTGATTAAAATAAATAAAAAGATTTAAATTAATAAGTAAATCATTAGATTTAAATAAATAAAATTGTGGTTAATTAAAAGTTTAATATTAATTAAATAAAAGTTGATTACGATAAATAAATTGAAATAACTAAATAAATAATACATCTAACAATGCAGTAGTATAAACCTCGTTTTTTCTAAATCTCTTTTTTTCTTTTTTCTAAATAATATTTTGACGTATATCAGTTTTTCACAGTATAAAAGCTATAGCTGTAAATTGTAGGATGTTTGGGGTTCTGTGGCGTGTAAATGATTGAACCAGCCGGAGACCAGAGCTGCTGTACTGACCCGCTGAACAGAGCCGTGTTACTGCTGCTTCACCAGCTTAACCAGCACTAACCACGGCTCTGCTCAGCTGGATCTTCTGTGATGTGTTGATGTGTGTGTGTTTGGGTTAAAGCCGCCCTGTCTCCTCTCTCCTCGTCTCCTGTCTGCGTCCAGTGTCTCTGCAGACCATCATCAGAGTCTTAGACAATAACACATCCGTTCCTGTAGCTCGTCTGATGGCGCTGGCGACGCTGCAGTCACGGGTTTGAGTCCCTGAACACACGTGTCAATATTACGCTGGTCTCAGCTCTATGGTTCTAATTCAGACATAATTCACCCAGAAGTCAAGCGTCTGTCATCATTCGCTCACCATCATGTCTTCGTGTGCTGAACTGAAGGAGAATCTAAAGATCACCATGACTGTCAAACTCTGACAAGAACAAAATAAACCATAACGCTCCGTTTAAGTATCATGGAGGTCGTTCATAAGGTCTGTGTTCTCTCTATACTTTCATGGTGTGTTAATGGTGTTTTGTCTGCTTTGGAGCTCGGCAGTCATGATCTCGATGAGCTGTTGATGTGAAGATTCATCAGATTTTCTCATGTGACTTTAATTCAGTTCAGTATGTGACTCTGGAGCAACACGAAGAGTAAATAATGAAGCTGAAGATACCTTTTATTTTTTCCAAAATTCCATTTTATTTTTTAACCAAGTTCTGTTTTATTTTTCCCCAAATTGTTTTATTTTTAACCTGATACCATTTTATCTTTTTTTTTTTAACAAATTCTATTTTATTTTATTTTTTACAAATTCTGTTTAATTTTTTCCCCAAATTCCATTTTATTTTTTAACCAAGTTCTATTTTCTTTATTCCCAAATTGTTTTATTTTTAACCTAATACTATTTTATCTGTTTTTTTTTCTGTTTTTTTTTATTCTATTTTATTTTTTTTAACAAATTCTGTTTTATTTTCCCCAAATTCCATTTTATTTTTTAACCAAGTTCTGTTTGATTTATTCCCAAATTGTTTTATTTTTAACCTAATACCATTTTATCTTTTTTTTAACCCAAATTCTATTTTATTTTTTATCAAATTCTGTTTTATTTTTTCCTCAAATTCCATTTTATTTTTTAAGCAAGTTCTGTTTTATTTTTTTCCAAATGGTTTTATTTTTAACCTAATACAATTTTATCTTTTTTTTAACCAAATTCAAATTTTTTTTTTTTTAACAAATTATTTTATTTTTCCCCCAAATTCCATTTTATTTTTAACCAAGTTCTGTTTTATTTGTTCTCAAATTGTTTTATTTTTAACCTAATACAATTATATATTTTTATTATTATTATTTATTTATTTATTTTAACAAAATTCTATTTTATTTTTTTGTAACAAATTCTGTTTTATTTCCCCCCCCAAATTCCATTTTATTTTTAGTTAAATTCAATTTTATTTTCCCCAAATCCCATTTTATTTTTTAAACTAAATTCTGTTTTATTGTTTCCCAAAATACCATCCAGCCATCAGTTCATTCATTCATTCATTTATTAAAATTATTATTATTTTATTTAAATTTTAGTTTTTTGTTTTTACCAAATTCCATTTTTTTCCATTTTAATTTTTCTGGATTCCATTTTTTCCTATTTAAATTTCTCTGGATTCTGAATTTTTATAATGGAAAAGCATGGTTAATTCATTGAAATCTTGAACATATACAATTTAACAACAGTTTAACGAGTAAAAAAAAAAATAACAAAAATGACATTTTCAGTGTAATTCCATTTCCATTTCAAATGTGATTAGTGTGGTGAAGGCACTGGACGCAGGAGGCCTCGGCGCAGCAGGAGATATCTCTGAAGAGGGATACACGGATATTAATTCTCTTGCTCTCTTCACAGATATCTCCCAAGAAAGTCCGGTTGGCTGAATCGCCGTTGCGAAAAGTATGCCCTCTATCCTTGCTTTTCTCTTTCTCTCGCCTCGTTTCTTTTCTCCTTCTCCTCTTTTGGTCTTTATTTGGCCACATGCACTTCTGCTCATGAGTGGATGACGTACACTACCAGTCAAAGGTTTTTGAAAGTAAGACTTTTAATGTTTTTTAAAGAATTCTCTTCTGCTCACCAAGCCATTTATTTGATCCAAAATACAGCCAAAGCAGGAAAACTTTGAAATATTTTTACTATTTAAAACAGCTGTTTTCTATTTGAATATATTTTAAAATGTAATTTATTCCTGTGATTTCAAAGCTGAATTTCTAGCATCATTACCCCAGTCACATGATCCCTCAGAAATCATTCTAATATTCTGATTTGCTGCGGTGTTTGGGGCCGAATGCATGAGACAGACGAGTGTGGAGCCGATCCGATTCATAAAGCCTTTATGAATGCTGCGTGACGTCATACGGCTCGATCTGAGTCATTTCCATCTGCTGGCATGAATCATAACATCTATGCTGAAGTGTTTATGCTGCATGTGTTAATATAACATACATGTGACACCAGACTGATGAAGATCTGAGAAGACATCTTCTAATGCTCCTGAAATAAGCTTATTTTTTTTCATGGTCAGTTTAGAGATTTTTGTCTGTTGTCTCTTCTTTCAGTCTAGTGGAAACTAAACATCCCAAATCTACATTTAAGTGTTTATTTCATTGCACATGATCTATTTATGTCTGTAGATTTCAATCCTTAAAGAGTTTTTTCTCTTAAAACGCCAAACTTTATTCCTCTCTATATTCCAAAGGCTTGTTCATATTTCATTCACACTGATTTATACAACATTTCACTCCTAAAACATGGTGAAAATATGTTTGTTTTCTGTCTGTTGACAGTGTTTTCTGATTTATGGAGTGATAAAAAGAGAAATCCAGAATCCCCTCCGGAATAACCTTTAACTCTGATGTGACAACAAAATCAAAGAAGAATTATGAACCAATGTTCAGCTTTCAGTTCTTAACTAGGGATGTCTCGAGCCGATCTCAAGGATCGGTATTGGGACCGATCAAGCATTTTTTCAGCTGATCGTATCGACTCTCTTTTTAGCCGATCCTTGTTTTATGTCAGCTGTCACGCCGGTGTCATGCAGTAGGAGGCAGTATGCACCTTTAAGTTAAATGTTTTTTCAGTTTTTTTCAGCTGCTTGCACACAAATCTTCACGTGTCACACAATTTCTGAAAGCTGACACTCAAACAGCAGAAGCATGCTCCAAATCTGCAAAACCATACACTGATTCTCAGCCTTTCAAATTCTTTTAATTTGGTGTTTGTTTTTAACAAGTCTCCGCCAGCTCATGGTTGTGGTTGCCAGATTTCAGTTTAATCCCCCAATCAGACTCTCTGCTTGCGGTCCAGTGTGGCTTGTGTTAGTTTGCTGATTCTCTCTGGTTATCAGTGTCAGGTGGACCGGTTCACTGCGTGAGTCACTGGGGTTTAGTCAGTGTATTTTTAGAAACGCTTGCGTTGGCTCATTGGCAGGCCGTGTGTGTCAGTAACCATCGCCCCGTGCTTTACAAGACTCAACAGCTGGGAGTTCTGCATGTGTTCGGCTGAATGGGCGTCTCGCGTGAAATCAGTTTCTTCTGCTTGTCTGATGGACCTTCCATGTTGTGTGCGCCGCTGTCAGACCGTGGTGTGCTGAAGAGCATGCGGTTGTTGCAGAGCTCAAGTTAATGCAGATGTCACGTCTCAGAACAGTTCTGTGCCTGGAGTGTCATTGGAGTTGGAGCCGGTCGCATCAAGTGAAGGGAGAGTCTGCTGCAGGTCCATGCGTTATGAGCGCAGTTATTGCGCGGCAGTGAGCGAGCGTTTTCAATTCATTCCTATGGAAGTTGAGCTTAAACGCTCACGCGGTGCATTGTGGGATTGAAAGCGGCGCAGAGAAAGGGTTGAGAGTGTTAAAAAGGTTGGGCATTCCTCGACTTTATGCAAATATCGAGTGAAAAACACCGGGCGACAACCAATCGCTGTGAACAGCAGGCAAGGCAAGATTTTGACGCATGTTTCCGAGTGGATTACGGAGCTGAAATCACTTGTCGTTGAAAAAGTCATTTGTGACCCTGGAGCACAAAACCAGTCATGAGGGTCAGTTTTGTGAAATTGAGATTTATACATCATCTGAATATTTGGCCGAGGTACAACTATTTGAAAATCTGGAATCTGAGGGAGCAAAAAAATCTAAATATTGAGAAAATCATCTTAAAAGTTGTCCAAATGAAGTTCTTAGCAATGCATATTACTAATCAAAAATTAGGTTTTGATATATTTACGGTAGGAGATTTACAAAATATCTTCATGGAACATGATCTTTACATAATATCCTAATGATTTTTGGCTTAAAAGAGAAATGTATAATTTTGACCCATACAATGTATTGTTGGCTATTGCTACAAATATACCCCAGCGACTTAACACTGCTTTTGTGCTGCAGGGACACATATGTTTTATTTAGGGCTGTCTCTATAGGCTACGTTTCATCATTTTGAATTTTAGGTTGTACTTAGATATTGGCAATAGTGTTTAGTTTTTAGTGTTTAGCAAACTGGGTGTAAACATTGTTTTCAGATTGGTGCTCCACACGCTCAAAGCAGTGTTGCTGTAGCGAGCGCAGATTAGAGGCTGTAGAAACGCACCGTTAGATCCAGATGATCAGGCCTCGGGACGGGACGAGAGCGGCGGACAGACAGACGGAGCTTCCCAGCCGAAAACACTCACAGGTGCGGCGCAGCTCATCCATCACTGCTTTCAATCAGGTCCTTCACTCAGAACCTCCACGGCTCGTTCCTGCTCAAGCCTGTTTATCATTCATGTGCTTGTGTTCTACATCCATGAGGCTTTATCGTAAAAGTGAATATCACACTGCAAAAAATGATTATCTTACTGAGTATTTTGTCTTGTTTTCTAGTATAAATATCTAAACATTCTTGAATGAAGATGAATTTACTGTACAAGTAAAATGACTCAAGATATTAAGTCTTGTTTTCTAAAAAAAAATTAAAAAAAATAAATAAAAATTTTGTTTGAAAATGTAGCAACATTTTTTGCTTAAAACAAGCAAAAATGTATCTGCCAGTGGGGTAAGAAACATAATCTTAATTCAAAGCTAAACAAGATAATTTATACAATAAAATATACATTTGCACTTTTTTATTGATTATTTGTAAAATGAATTCAAATGTAATGGAGATCTGTAGGAAGTTGTTTTTCAAACTTGAAGCGTCGGGTTAGGTTTAGTTTATTCCTAAAATGTTCTTTACTTGGTCTTAAAAAGGTCTTAAAATGTTTTAAATTTACCTTCATCAAACCTGCAGAAACCGTGCATTTATAATTGATTACACTGCAAAAAAAGGATTCACGTAATTTGTATTTTTGTCTTGTTTTCTAGTATAAATATCAAAACATTATTGAATCATGATAAATTTACTGTAAGTGGTTGCAATCAATTTATTTTAGCTACATTTAAATAAACAAATTTAGTTGGCTAACTTTCAACATGTAGCTAAAATAAATTGTTTGCAACCACTTACCTTAAAAAAATTTGTATCATTTTTTTCAGTGTACAAGTAAAATGACAAGATATTATATCTTGTTTTCTGTAAAAAAAAAAAAAAAATCTACATTTTGTTAGTTTTTGCTTAAAACAAGCAAAAATATCTGCCAGTGAGGCAAGAAAAATAATCTTGTAGACCCTTTGAATTAAGATTATTTTTCTTACTTCATTGGCAGATATTTTTGTTTGTTTTAAGCAAAAACTAACAAAATTGTGATAATTTTTTTCTTAAACAAGATTTAATATCTTTAATAATTTTACTTGTAAAGTAAATGCATCTTGATTCAAGAATGTTTAGATATTTATACTAGAAAACAAGACAAAATACTAAGAGAATCTTTTTTTGCAGTGTATTTACACAATGAAATGTAAATGAACAGTTGAAAGTCATCGTGATATTTTTAACCATGTTTTGAAATGTTGATATTATCAAACTGATTTGTGTCATTTGATCAAACTGGACGAATGAAAGATTACTGTACTCGAGCCTCGTGCGTTTAGTTTTCTGTGTTATTGTCTCTGTACTCAGTGTTGATTCTGATGTTATTTGACGTTCAGTGAGAGAGGATCTGGACGTTTAAACGTTTTATGAATCTGTCCTCTTATAGTGACTGATAGATGTGCGTTATTGATAATTCTCACGTTTGTGAACAGTATGGAAGGATGAATGATAGAGATTGAAAAAAGAATCCTAAAGCTTTTATATAATGCATTGTAAAAGTATTTTAATGCTTTAATTATGCCTTGCAATGCACCTCATAATTAATTCTGTGATCCTATGAATAATCAGTATAATGCATTATAACACTTATCGATTCATAGTTATTTCTTTAGAAGGTAAAACATATGACAAGCAACCAATTTCAGATGTGACAATGAGTCTGTAAATATTATAATACATTTTAACTCTGGTTACAATTATTTATTTAAAGATATAATGCATTACAGAGTGCATCTTGGATATCTTCATAATGCATTAAACATAAGGGCTTAAAGTAAAGTGTTACTGAAACATCCATGGTTTTAGAAGAGGAATTGATTCTTTTAAAGAACACATGATCGCTGTGGTTCTGGAGATCAGGGATAGATGTAGCGTGCAGAAGCCCTGGGTCAGATCATAGCGTGTGTTTCTCTGGATTATATTTGGCTGTGTGTGTGTGTGTGTGTGTGTGTGTGTGTGTGTGTGTGTGTGTGTAACTAATACTCAGTCATTTAAGCAAAAGCTTTTATGATAATAAAAAACAAAGTCAATGCTGGTATACAGTATATCATATATTCATTTTATATTATTATGTACAGTATATAGTAGAATGTATAAATATATATGAAATTATGTTTTAATTATTGTTAAGTAATGATGTTTGTCATTCATAGTTTGTTGCTCATGGACTTTCACATG